GCCACCACATCTAAGGAATGGTAAGCCACAGTATATTAAATTGTAGTTTTGGGGTATGCTCTAAGAAAGATTAGGTTTTAGGCTCGGAATATGGTAAGAAAAACAATTTTTCTGAGGATATCTTGGGTTGGTTTACTAGAGTAGAGAGTGTTCCCATAGCACAGTAAAGTTACGCTCACTTAAATGACTCTAAAATCAAAGGTTAAACATTAATAATTAACAAAACTGTACCTTATTTGTGCATCATTCAATGCTGTAGATCCTCAAATCATCCCTGAATCGGTGCTCACACTGTCTTTCCTTCCGGGGGGGGGGGCTACTTTTGTTTCCCATGGTTCTTGTATGCGCTGTTAAGTAGCTACCACTCCAAGCTCACTCCTGTGATGGATTACAACCTCAATACAAATTAGTAAACTATATATGAGATTGTAGTTCATAACGGGAGGGAGCTTTAAGGGGTTATTCACAAAGCTGCCAAAGGCAGCCAAGTGAATGACCCAGCCAAAGTGAAATGAGCCGAACGACGTTCGGCTATTAACTCCGACTCAGAACGGCTGATTTCAGCTGATTGGCTGAAATGAGCCTTTCATCGGCTGCTGAACATGCTCTACTGAGCTGAAGTGCAGAAGGACTTCGACTCAGCCGGTCCAACATCTGGATCGGCTGAGCCGAAGCTCTTGCAGTTCACTCACTGCCGTTCGCCCCTATTCTCTTAGGGGCTGAACAGCAGTGAGTGAATAGCCGTATGCCGCCGAGCAGCATTTGGTTCGGCTATTCTGGTCGGTACCTCTGTGGTACCGAGCAGACTAGAAAATCTATGAAATTAGTTAAAAGAAAACAAAAAAAGGTTGGAAAAATATTTGTAAAATGTAAAGAGTAAAAAAATTTAAAAAATAAAGAATTTTTTAAAAAGAAAAAAATTATTTAAAAAAAACAATTGGGCGGAGCTAGCAGTGACAGCTAGCTCCACCCAACAGTTTTGAATTCTATTTTATAACATTATGCTATATAGTTTTAGGATATTATCTTTATAGAACAGAATGCAGGAATAAATATGAGTTGTGTATTTATCTAAATTCAGCTTAAATAAAGCTGTAATGTACGTAATCACAGTATCATATTTTAGGTCAAATGCAGGGATAAATATATTGTTTTAAAACACAATGTTTAACCAAACTAAAGCAATTAAGGCACCATTGCAATTATATTGCTTAGGCATATACACTTGCTATATTCTGGCAATAAAAAAGATGTGCCTGACCTAAGATAAGCACCTTGGAGGATTAATAGGTTAATTAATGGGCTAGAATTTCTTCTTCTCTGGCATGGAGAAGCTAAATGTGACACAGATGTTTTGCATTTTTAGAAGCCTTTGTGACATGGGAATTATTGTTGTTTCACTATGCAGCCATATCATTTGCCATTATGTGCCATCACTGTGCCAATTGTAAACAAATAATTGTTTATAAATGTATCAAGTAATTAAATAATCTGTTAAAAAAATAAAAATGTCATAAGTTAACTTACAAAAAGGTGTGTATTAGTAGGCTAAAACAGAAGTCCACATAATATACCTGAATATATGTAAATGCTTGTCTACAATAATAATGTGTTCCTGGTAAAAGTACTGTGCTACACACATCATCTTTTTCTTAAAAATGTGTAAACAAAAAAAACTCTTTATAAGAGAGATTGGTGATGCTCAGAAACCTACAGTATGTGTTGTGTTGTAGCAAACAGTGTTGCCAGACCAAGTTACATGAACAGGAACATCACAGGGTCAGCTGAGCCCAATCTTATTTTCTAATGCATACAGCAATAGTGTAAATCCCTTTTAGTTCTTCATTCTGTTTGTAATGCCAAACTCCAACTATATATGGATAAAACCTTTTAATGAATGTAAGTATGTAGTTATTAAAAGTCATTTACTGAATCTAAATAAGACTCTATAATTACTGGATTTTTTTTCTTATAAGTTTTCTGTAATCATATGACTAAGAAAGGAAGGATCACAGTCTATCTAACACAATAAATGAGAGCACACAGATTACCTCATCAGGGTGTCTGCTCCTTTACTATCTATCACACAGGTGAGGCATGGTAGTGTCAACACTAATGGTACATCACTACAGGGAAAGCACCTTGCAAATACCTGCAGATACTTTTAGGTGCCATCTGAAGCTTCCGGGGTGCTCCGAAATGCATTGTAATATAGACACTTCCATATTTTCTGATATTGTATTACAGGAATGTGTGGGAGGTGGGAACAAGTAACTAAGATCTTAGCTTTGTCAGGAAGTGTCAAAATACATGTTACAGTCAGTTACATTTATTGGCACCTGGCTTGGGACATTATACATGACATCTAAAGGTATATGGAGTGTAGCATTCAGGGTATTCATGATCACTGCAAGCAAGTAGGACACTACTGCCTTTTGTATAAAGTCCTGTTTATTACTGAACATAAAATGCATCTCTTCAGATAAAGCAATACTTCAATATAACTTACTTTCTTTATATTATTCATGAGTCCACTTGTGTAGGTAAAGAATAATTGTAGCAGTCCCATACAAGGTACAGGGCTCACCAGACAGGAGAGAGTCCTGCCTCTCTCAGACAGGACAGTGCAGAGCTTTTTAGGGGCTCAGAGCTTCCAATTAACTCTTCCTGTTCAAGCAACACCTTTCCCCTGGACTGCCAGATCCTTCAACTAATACCCCACCATGACCTTTAAAGAGCCTGCAGCCTGTATCATTGGGAGAAACACCTTTTATCCAGGACCCACCAGGGAATTGTAATGTGGCAGGTATATGTGAGACAAAAAGCTTGCTGAAAAAAGTGACAAATGTTTTGGTGGGTAAACGATAAAGTTTGTTGGCATTCAAGCCATGTTTGGGACCCTTTAAAGCCCTTGCATTTTACAGTCAGATCAAGATTTATAAATTTGGAGTTCATAACAAGACATCTCCTCTGATAGTTTTATGTTTTAAAAACTTATGTTTTCTTGTCACTCCTTTGTGTATTTTGACACATTCTACATGCATTGGGGCATGTAAATATGCAAGTATGATTATACATGTGTTAAACTGCATGTGCAATGAAACTTACCAATGTAAAACAAAATGCGTAAAACTCACCATAAAACACATGTAATGGGCCCATAATGCTACTTACCCCATTCATTTACAAAGAACATTTTTTAGACATGCTTTATGCTACTGAGCTAATGCCTTAAATAAGGCATCTAACCCAATGAAATGCTCATTATTCAATCCAGCTGTAAACTCATCCACATGAAATAAAAAAAATTGAAACTCTCTTAACACCTATGACTTCACTAAAAAAAAAACGTTTTCTAAATGTAAAGTTCAGGGAGTTTTCATTACCTTTTTCCTTCCAAGTTTAAAGTCTATTCTACTTTTAGTAATCTGGGCCTTGGTAACAATCTACTTTAATACCATGTTTTAAAACCAAGTCATATGAACTCACAAATCCAAATATTTATAAGTTTATTAATATTCCACTTGTTGTTTGAGATGTACATTCATACTTTGTGATTTACCAAAATACACTCTCAAACTGAACATAACATGATTTAGTGAATTGGTGTTGAAGCATGCTGGTATGGGAGCTTGTATATGAAAATTTAAAACTATGCAGTATGACAGATTTTAAGACCAGTTTGCTTTTTGACAGGATTGAAATCTTCCTATCTACAATCCCTGAAATGTCTGATAATCCAGACATACAACTTGTATATATGCAGCCCAACTAATTGTACTAGTTGACATGATAATAAGGAATTACTAGCATGAGAGAATTTTGCAGATCATGCCAGAATGTAACATGCCCTATACAAAGGTGCTTTATTTATCACACATGGCTATGTCTCCAGTTACAATCAAAAGGGCTACATTTGTGTGGGTAAAGCCAATGCCAAAGAAACCTTAAGGCTAAATGCCTACAACAGTTTGCAAAAGCAACAAGATTCCAAAATATAAAAATAAATGCAAAGCATTGTCAAATTTACACTCAACATAATTAAAATATTACACATTTATACAATTTCAAACAAAATAATAAATAAAACATCCACTTACATCTTTACAAAGAAACAGAAAGGTTTGCCTGTCTTGGATGTACCGAACACAAATGCCAAACTAAAATAATGAAATGGATATGTTTTCTTATAAGAGGTAAACAGGAAATTGTATGCAAATTATAGCATGTTATCCATGATGCTTAGGAAGAAGGAATTTGCATTAAAATAAAAAAGCAAACACTTTGGTATCTATTTTAATATGATTATTTACTGTTGTGATGTATACGTCAACCAGTCAACAATGCCCTGATCATAGATTTATCCAATTTAAATTGTGTATTAAAATGGCAAATAGAAACTAAAACCACCATACCGTTTTTTTAGCTGATTTCATTATAATATGGCACACTGACTATTAACAACCATAACGACTTTCTTCATATAAGGAAGAAGACAATATTATTTTATCCATTCTCATGGAATTCTCTCATTTGGCAAATGAACTGCAATACCCAAGTTGAGCACAAAAGGCTTGACCTAGGTGAATGCAAATTTAATTATTGATATCTCAAGATTTCATTTCTTAAACCTATAATATTTACAGTATTGCACTTTAATTGCATCTTACTAACAGTAATTCTGTATTAATATTACTTTCTGACACTGCCGTTACATCTTCTTCTTCCTTATAATAAATACCTCTAGGATTTCCAAATCTAATTACTTCTGAATTTTGGACATGGTGACAGCTTACAGGTAAATGGCACAGAGCACATAATACTACGTTTTCTTAAAAAGTATAGTGTCTATGTCAGTGGCGGAACTACCGCCGGTGCAGGTGGTGCGGGTGCCCGGGGCCTCAGGCTCTGGGGGCCCAAAAAAAAATCTTGCACCAGGGCCCTTTGTTCCTTAGCTCCGCCACTGGTCTATGTGGTAAATGTTAGGCATTTTTATTTTCAGTTATTGAAAGCACCAACAATTGGTGTATTGTATGATTTATTTTTCCAAATGTGATCTTTGGAAAAAAATAAATAAATTATTGCTGCCTATTTTTGTGAGCAGGCTGCTGCACATAATGAATGGCGATTCTTGCTTTCTCTACATCCAAAACTCCATGTACGTTCGGGAGACTGTGTCTACAAAGGAAGGATTTTATGGAAGTGAGTAATAACATTGGCAAAAAAGTTATGCCATTTTTAATGGAGACCAGCCCCAGTGATTTGTTATCTACAATATATCGATCTATGTATATGAATTTTCCAAGTTGGTTTTCTCAGAAACATGCAGAAGAAAAATTGAAAGCAGCCAATGGTGTAATGCTCAAGTTCCTTTTTTGTCAAGAGTAAAGAAAAAAATTCTCTGTTTTCCATTCCTCTTCAAAATTCCACATTTGTCCAAATTATGTAAGGCGATGTTCTTATCTGTCTCCATCTGTCTTCAGATTCAGAATCACTGTGGTTGCAAACATTGTTTGAAATTCATGATATTTCATTCAAGTTTATTGTGAGTTTAATTGACTAAACCAAATGATGCCTTTGTTTAATAATCCTTGGTGATCTTCTACAGAGGCAGGTATAGGCCCTTTAATTTTTCTAGCACACTTGCAAAGTATTTTTAACAACCCATTTGGCGTTTGAAGAGTCATATAATGGCAGAGAAGAGAATTGAGAAGTCAGTCACTGTTTAATCAATGGCTAAAAGTGTCAAAGCCCCAAAGCCTCTGCATGTTTCCTGGCTTTGAGTCGCAAGTCAGCAATACTAGAGTTTTTGCTGTTACTTTTAGCAGCGGCTGCAACCACAGCTGCAGCGGAAGCTGTGTCTGCCAACGATGCAATTGGAAGTCCAAAGGGTGGAGGAGGAAACATCAGGTAAGGAGCGTGGGCAGCCAGATGCGGATGAAGATGGGGATGTGCGTGAGCTACACCTTCTAACTGTAACTGAGCCTGGACCTAGAAGGAAGAAGAAATATGGGTCACATCAAGAGGTTTTTATTAGTCATGTATTTATGAATGCTAAGTAGTAATTGTACATTAGGGTGGATGTAGGACAGGACCCAAGGCAAAGTTGTCTGTAATTCAAAATAAAGAAAATGTAATCCCATGAGCACAGAAGACCTCATTCCATATTCAGTCAAAAAATGTCCTTATCTGCATTAAACTTGTGAACATCAAACAATCAAAAATTGTCCTTACCTACAAGTACATTTAAATTCACAGCTTTCACAGTTTATTGCAATCTAGCTACTACTATTGGGAGGTAATTAAAGGGAATTTTACTTCATAAACTTTATCTTACCCAAGAAAATTTGTTTCTATTTTTAAAAACTTTTTGGGAAAAAGAGCTTTAGTCCTACTGGGAATTTGAAGACATCCTGAGGGCTGGGTATTAATGTATTTAAGTATTCATATTCAACACAGAGAGAGAGTTAAAGTGGTACAATAATGTATTCCCCACAATTACCCCCACTATAGCTGGTTTCTGGTTTCGCAAAACTGGTACATTACAATGGCGTAGTGGTTAGCACTTCTGCCTTGCAACACTGGGGGTCCCTCGTTTGAATCCCAGTCAGATTACTATCAGTAAGGAGTCTGCATGTTCTCCCTGTGGTTGCGTGGGATTCCTCCGAGTACTCCGGTTTCCTCCCACACTCCAAAGACATGCTGTTAGGTAATTGGCTTTTGTATATATGCATGTGAGATAGGGACCCTAGATTGTAAGCTCCTTGAGCACAGAGACTGATGTGAATGCGTAACTATGTAAATTGTCAGCGCTATATAAATACCAGTAATAAATACTAATAATACATTTAAAATATCTTGTATTTGATCTAGCACAAACAAAAATGTCTGAATATTATAAATAGCTGTTTTCAAATGCTGAGGGGATTTTGTGAATCAGTCTGGGTTTAAAGCTTCATTATTTAGCCTTAGAAAACCTAGGACTGGCAGCGAATCAACACAGCCATTGAATGAATTCAAAAGACAGCTGTTTCATCCTTTGGGAATCCTCAGTTTGACCATGGCCATAGATTCTGCATGTTAATACATCATTTTCTTACAAAACAAACAACGAAGAATCAGACATATTTGTATAATTTGCATATAGATTAGCTTACTACATGTTCTTACATATCTAATGATAGGCTCATGCGCTAGCAATTACCAAACATTCCAGTTCCAAAAATATATGGGGCTGATTTAATAATCTTAGTTTTGTTTTAAGGTGCAAATGAAGTTAAGGAAAATGTTCTACTTATGCAAGTTACTCGCACCTTTCGAAAAGTTCACTGTGCTGGTGTGTCTTTGCAGAATTTGTCCCTATGTTTAAAACAAAATTTCTTACATATGATGAACTATTAAGACATTCCATGTTGATTTTATCTTTTTTTGGAATGGCTTAAAATAGTAATGGCAGCTGCAAACCACTTACCATAGTGATATGCAACATTCTTACCCTCTTTCCAGTCTTCATTGATGACTGGAGTTTGGTAAATGAGTTATGATTACCTGTGGTGTGAATATAAATATCTTAGATATTAGGTTTTTTGTTGAATTTCATTAAGGCTGGATTTGCCTTTTCATGTGTGTTGTGTCACACGTTAATATGCATTCATTAAGGCTGGATTTGCCTTTTCATGTGTGTTGTGTCACACTTTAATATGCATTGCATAAAGACCAAAAATGGACATGCAGCATTTTTCCTAATGCAACACACCACAATGCAGAGTAGTGCATTGACACATTTGTCACCGTATTTGTGTTTACCCTCAAGGATGGAATTATATTACTGTGTTTTTAAATGTTTCAATTTACCACACATCTTTAACGCTCATTTTAACATGTTTTATTGTGCTTTACTGCATTTATCATGTTTTAGAGTTGATTTACTAAAGGAATAGAACCTATTCACTTAAGAAAATGAATGTTCCCTAAGAAAGTATATGAACACTTACAATTGAAGTTAGATTAGCTTATTAAAATAGTTTAGCTCTGTTCACTTTGAATACCCAATTATGTACAAAGCAAATAAAATAAACAGAATTTTTGCTTGCATGTGATTGGATGATTAAATTGAGCATAGCCTTACCTTATTCATTAAGCCTAATAAACATTCACTGTTTAAAATTAATATACAATTTCTGAAGTGAACAATTACTTTGATGAGTGAACTTTCTTTATTCCTTCAGTAAATCTTACCCATTGTGTTGTGGTTTTGTATATGAAATCACAGTTTATCTCAACAAAATGTGGCAAAACATGCATTTTAGGATACAAGCTAAAACACAGCATTTTTTGTCAGTAATATAGTGTAAATCCAGCCTAAGGCCTGTGTCAAATGAACTTTATGTGAGGGAGCACAATACTGCATATCTCCAACTGTCCCTCATTTGAAACCAAATTCATGTATTACTCTTTCATCTTTGTGTGATGCATTTACCTGTAAAATTCATGTATGATTTACTTCAAAAGTATGCCTATCGCACTAAATTTTTTATCTAATTTTTAAATTATTACACTTGTTATTTTCAAAAGTTAGTATAAAGGTAATGTAAAAAAGCAGAAGTGTTTTTAACTTATTTGTTTAACTTAAATTCTCCATGGTCCATGTGATGGGGGGTGTAGAAGGGGTGTATCTTTTGCCTGAATATTTTGTGCTAGAAGTCCCTCTTAACCATCCCAGAAAGTTGGGAGGTACATACTAAATTGATTCAAGAGTCCTTCATAGGAGGACCCCAAGCTAAATAAATGCAAGCATTCTCTGAAGCCTTTTTGACAATAGGAGTTTTACTGACACTTAAAGTAGTACAATACTTATTTTTGAAAGCATCAAAGTTCGGCAACATTCATTATACTAATAGGCAGGCAAAATACAATGCAATTTGTTTTAGGTACCACATTCCATATTTTTGGTTAATCTTTGGGACATTGTTTTAAGACTCTTTTCACATCTACGTGTTGTAGGTATGTTGCATTGTTTTGCTTGCACGTGATTTGCATGATTAAGGTGAACACAGCTTTACTTTATCTACAGTGCGATCACAAGCACTGTACAAGCACCTGTCGCTCAAACAGTTGTAAGAACAAATATGTTTAAAAACATCTCTTCAGAATAACATCACCCCAAGCAGCTGCAGTATCCCTAACAATGGGACACTGGCTGCAAAGACACAACCACAGGCCTGGTCCCAGCTATACCGCAGAATGGCTCTACTCCACCCCCCACAGCAGTGATATCCATTGTAATGGGAGGGTGTCACTAGAGTGGGGAGGTGACAAGTATCTCTGTGACAGATGAATGGCCAGCATATCTCTACCCCACTACTAGTGACAGCCTGCAGCACTCCCAGCCTCCCCAAATGATGTAAGCCAGCAACCCCCATACAGTAAAATAATCACTGCTATCATTAAGACAGCACTGTAACCAAGAAGATTACCAGGCTGGAGACTGCATTTACGAAATGGGGACACATCCAGGGCTATGGTTTCATCTAGTGTTACTTTACAAAAAACTTTTGTTTTTAAAGTGTTGTTCTTGCAGTTGAATTACCTCTATTATCTACTACAAGTTTATGTTGTAAAGTTCCTGCAGATAATTCACTGGCACTCTAAAATACTATTGCCAACTCTTTAAGGGCTGCAAAGCATGCCATTGTACTGATCTTTGTAGGATGCCCATTCCCAAGTAGAATAGCAACAGTGCTTAATTTCTTCTATGCGCTTGACCAATCAAAGCCTGAATATTTTGAAATCCCTTAGTAACCCTCTACATTCTTAAAAACATTAAAAACTCATTAACTCTAAACTCTTATTTGACAGGGCCATAATGAACAGAAATCTGCTGTGACAAATAGGTAAACAAAAGTGCTTGAATTCACTGTAGACATCAACGTTATAAGGCAAGTCAATCTTTATATGAATTAGTTATTGAAATTCTCATTAGTTATGATTCCTACAATTTTTTTCATACCAGTAATCTGGAGGGCCACAGACTTTTCCATAAATTATTTTTATTGTTTAAACAATTTCCTATGCCAAGGTTTACAGAATCTGCTATTAAATATTCTGCTGCAGTCTGTCTCCAGAGACTCAACTATTTCTTCACTAACTGGTCTATTCACTAAGCTGCCAAGGGCAGCCGAGTGAACAACCGACCCCAAGTGAAGTGAGCCGAACACTGATAGGCTATTCACTTCAGGCTTGTACGGCTGATTTCAGCCGTATATCGGCTGAAATCAGCCATATATCGGCTTGCTTCGCATTGGCTTCGGGTCAGCCGAACATGCTCAGCATGTTCGACTGACCCGAAGTGCAGAAGGAGTTCGACTCAGCCGATCCAACATCTGGATCGGCTGAGCCGGACCTCCGGCAGGCTACTCACTGCTGTTCGGCCTATTCTTATAGATGCTGAACAGCAGTGAGTGAATAGCCGAATGCCGCTGAGCGGCATTCGGCTCGGTTGTTCTGCTCGGTCCCTCAGAGGGACTGAGCTGAACAGAAAAATAGTTTAAAAAGTTTGAAAAAAAGTAAATAGAAAACGATTGTGCAGAGCTAGCAGTGACAGCTAGCTCCGCCCAACAGTTTTCTATTGTCCGGCGGTTCTGCTGCCGTAAAAAAAAATCCCCCGGGCGCTCTGTGTTAAGTGGAAGGAGCCAGCCGTAAGATCACGGCTGGTTCCACCCAGCTGTCAGAAGCAGGCTGTCGGCCGGCCGCTCAGCCAGCTTCGGCTTTCAACGCGGCTCAGCCGAGCCAATGCATATGCGTTCGGCTCAACTGAGCCGCACGGCCACGTTCGGGAGCTGTACGGGCTATAGTGAATAGCCCGTACAGCACCGCTTCGGTTCTACTGAACCGAAGGGGTCCTGGGGCCGAAGCTAGCCAAAGGATCGGCCGAAGCTACGGCTAGATCCTTCGGCAGCTTCATGAATAGACCGCTAAGTGCTGCCATTTTG